AAGGAGGGGTGACAATGGAGTATTAGGGTGAGAAGGAGAAGAGAAGGGAGAGAGAGAGCCGAATGTATGAAGTAAGAGCGAGAAAGCAGCGGCTCAAGCCTATTAATTCTGGGCAAGCTCGAAAAAGGTTCGGTCGGACCTTATGAGGTTCGGTCGGACCTTATGAGGTTCGGTCGGACCATAATAAGTTCGACCAAACTTTTGAAAAGTTCGGTCGAACTTTTGGATTTTCCAGAAACTGCCAGAATTCAGCCTAATTTGATTTCCAGAACAGGAGCGGCCGAACTTTCTGGGGGTTCGGTCGGACTAGCATAGGTTCGACCAAACTTTTGAAAAGTTCGGTCGAACTTTTTGATTTTCCAGAATCCGACAGTTTTTAGCCCATTTTGAGTTCTAGGGGAGGAGCGGCCGAACTCTTGGGTGGTTCGGCCGAACTTTTGTTAGAACGGTCGCACATTCCACACTCAATCAAATAAATTTATAAATCCTAAAACTAACCCCTAAACAAGTCTAGTGGTAAGTTCGGAGTCGAACCACAAGGAACGGTAATGCTAGATTGTTCTTAATCTAATGCCTAAGCTATGCCGAAGTCGATTTACGGATAAAGGACACTACAACTACACTAAAACACATATAAAGAACAAGGTATGATAAAGTCTACTAGGGGAAAAGATCCACTTAGAACAATTAATAAGCTAATGAGAATCCATTTGATAATCAATCATGCAAAGAAAGAATTATAATGAGAATTAACTACACTCAAAAGTAATCTCTCAAATTCCTAGCCTAGATCCCTCATTGACTAGGTGCATAGAAGAAAATTACCCAAAATGCAATCAAATATATCAATTCTAATTCACAATCCCTTGTCAAACTAAAACCAATATGCAATTAAGTGTGCTATCATGGGAGATCAATCCAATCTAAAACAAACAACATGCCAACATCAATTCAATCAATTTAATCATACAATTATCATCAAATTTATCTCAAATAACTCAAATAATCATTACAAAGCCTCACTCAACACCTAGTAGAAGGGAAACTACTCAAGCATAATCAAAGCAACTAAATAAAGCAATAAGAGAACTGAAAGTAAGAAATGCTCATTGATATAAGGTGGAGATCTTCAAATTCCTCATTTGATTATCCAAAATCCATGAAAACCATTGTGCTCCTCACTTTCTCTCTCTAAAATTTTGAGAGTTTCTCTCTCTAAAACCTAAAACTAACCTAAAATCTATTCTAAACTAAAAAAAAAATCTTTTTCTTTAATGAGCAAAAAAAACTATTTATACCCCTTACAAAATTTCTTAGGAAGCTTCGCAAAAAGTCAGCTGAAACGGGAAAAGGTCCGACCGAACTCTGGGTAGGTTCGGTCGGACTCGGGGTAGGTTCGGCCAAACTCATGGTCCCTCCGAAAAACGATCTCAAAAGGACCTTAAATAGTCCGTACAAAATTGGCTGAGATCGGGAAAAGGTCCGACCGAACTCTAGGTAGGTTCGGTCGGACTCAGGGTAGGTTCGGTCGAACTCTGTGTAAGTTCGGTCGAACCTCCCTGATCCTTGTTTGGTCGAACTTTTGAGGTTCGACCTCTCCTGCAAAATTGCTGAAAAACTGGTTTGACACTGCCTTCACTGCACCCAGGAGGTTCGGTCAAACTTTTCAAAAGTTTGACCACACCTAGGTTCGACCGGACCTTTCAGAGGTTCGGCCACACCTCCTCTTGCACTTCCTTTTCTTGCTTCCTCTCCTTCCCTTTAGCTCCTCTTGACTTTGTCCATGGCTTCCATACTTGGCCAAGGGGCCTCCCACCGTGCATAGGACCGTCATGGAACCTTCAGAAGATACCAAAGTTCACGAGAGCATGGGGATGATAAAATAATGCATAAAGATTATCAAAATAAGCGCAAATAAGCATTACTTTTCATCAACACATAAAGAAGCCATAAGAGGATAAATGAGGTGGAAAAAACTAAGAAAAATAAGAGGAAAAAGACCTAAATGCTACCCCTAAGAGTGACATATATGTCACTCATCAAGCTTACGGACTTGTCTCAATGTTCAGTTGATCTCGTGGTTAATTTGATTTGAGGGTGCTCCTTAAGACCTCCTAAGCATTCACAAAAGCTAAGCAAACAATTAGCAATGACAAGGATGATAAAACAAACAAAACAAAAAGAAAATCAAGTAAAATGACTCTAACAAAAGCAATTGTAGACGCTAAACAAGCCGCTTCCCCGGCAACGGCGCCAAAATTTGGTCGAAAGTTAGATAAGTAGTTAAGCTACTACCCTAATCAAATTAATCATTTATAACTAGGGAAGCACACTAATTCAACATCAATAATCACTATGCAAGAGTAAAAAGGGGATTGTTTTTGTTGGTTTTGTTGAGTAAGAACACTAAAACTACAAATAAGCAAGAAAATGATGATTAAAACCAAGGGAAAATGACGCTAGGGATACGAGGGTGTCAAATATGATTAGAAAGAGGGGAATAATGATGATTATCATGAAACATATGCCAAGGAACACAAGATTCTACCTAAACAATTCATTCTCATGCAATAGTCTAGGCAAATCAATGAAAGAGGTCTACACTAATAAGGATCATTCTCATGAATCTTATTATTTACAATAAAATCAATAGAATAAAGAAACACAATCCATAAAAACAACACTTTAATAACTCATTCTCATGAAATAATTAAATTAGAGATGATCTTAATCTAGTTCAAATCACTTTCATGCATATAAACTAGAAAACATCAAATATAGTGCAACAATAATCTCAAGCTATAAAAAATCATGTCTTTCATCAATTTATGGCATAAGTTCAATCCCACCATCATCATTCATCCAATATCAACTCTTATTTTCCACCCCCTTCCCCTAGCTAAATGATTAGCCTAGAGAAGGGAGATTAAACATAATATCAAAACTTGAAACAAACTCGAGAAACTCAAAACAAAACATGATTAAAAACAATGAAATCAATAACAACTATATGAACTAATAAGATTAACAAAAATAAGAGACAATAAATGCAAATAAATAAAGCTAAAGGGAAGGATAAGAGATTACTAAAGAAAGGATTAATGAAAGATGAAAGCTTGAAATGTTTCTTGATTGACCAAAGTTGAATACAAAAAGGAAGCTTGAATAAAATCTACTATCTCATAAGATTAGGCTAATATTCTATGGAATTAGAACTAAGTGTTTTTCATTACAAAGAGTCCTGACTATATATATGTGGCTCCCCCAAACGAAAGAAACTTGAGCAACAAGGCGCAAAGAAATAAAAAAACCCAGCGGTGCGCGCCTGCATAGTAGTAATGTGCGCCCTCTCAGCATATTGCGTGGCCACAACTTTGAGGGTACGGGGAAATGAGGCGCGCCCTCACAGTAAACCTGCACGCCTGTGCAGCAGGTTGCGCGCCCACACAGAGGCCGCGCAGTGGGTCGCACTAACTCTATGGTTTGGCTTTGTTTCATCAGCTTGGTTGCGCGGGTTCCGACAGGGTTGCGCGCCCGCACAGTCAAGGGTGCGCGCCTGCGCAGTAGTCGCATACTATCCCGCGCAGAACAGCTTGCTTGGCTCCTTGAATTCCTCTTTCTTTTGCCACATGATACCTACAAAACACAAGCATGGAAATTAAAATAATGAGAAGGAAAAAAGACTAAGAAAAAGGAAGATAAAAGAGAAGGGAAAGGAGGAAACAAAACTAAGTAAAATTCCTTAGAAAAGGGCCAAACAAGTGCAAATGAGGGGAGAATCCTTAGAGAAAAAAAGATAAAAGAGTGGCATAAATGCCACTCATCAGCATGATGTCCACCTGTGCTAGCATATTATGCCCCTAGCATTCGGATGCTCAAGGCATTCCGATGCTAGGGGTATTTTGGGAATATTGTCGATTTATTATTATTTTGCGCGTCTCGTCATTTACTATTTTTGACTCGACCTCCGACACTCGGTTTTGACACTCTAAGCTCGAATTTCCGATGTCTAAATATTTAATACTTAGGCGACTCATTAATTTCTTCCGAATTAATTCGTCGAGTTCGTTTGTTAATTGCTTCGGTGTGACACGAAGGGTTCAGTCAAGATTAAGTTGCAATATTAATTATACATTAATATTACTGATCGGAAGCGGCCTCCACCTATGCATTCCGATCACTTGACCTTACAGAATATATTAGCTTTCTAATAATTCAGAACCCACTATCAGAATAATACACTTAATCGAAAGACACCATTCCTTTCATAAAGTTCTCCTTGATCGTTAAGGGGTGTAACCTTCACCCTGTGAACGGCTTACAAGTTCCTAAAACTTGCCGGCGACTCTTTTTCTCTAGCTTCCTTCCCTTTGGACACCACCATGCTTAAGTAAGGCTCAACTGTGGGATAGCTTGAAATATTCCCGACAGATGATGGTGAAGCATACATGAGTAATGGATTAATGCTAACTGGGTGAAATTGATGGAGTTGATGTTGTGATTAAATTGGTTGATTGATTATGTGCATGAGTGTGTTTAATTTAGGAGTGATCACAATTTATTTGTGGCTTGCATTTGTCGATCGAGTTGGTTTGTGAAGTTCATAGCTAGAGTCTCTCGTAGTTGGCGCTAGTTTGACCTCTAGGAGAATAGTTTGTCAAACTCTTATAATTGCATTTTGATTTTCCCTTGCAACACTCGACTTAGTCAATTCCAATTCCAATCCCAATTAGTTGTATCCGTTGCATGTATATGTGGATCCTAAACCCTAATTTTGATTGTTTGATTGTCTTTGAATATACACACTTTACTTCATTACTTCCAAATAGCTTAGCTTTAGTATTAGCATTCACCTCCCATTCCTAGTGGTTAGACCCTCGACTTACTCTTATGCTAGTTATAAGGGTGTGTTGAGTGATTACAAATTGTGTTTGGCCTAGGGAAGATTAGTCCAACGACCTAGTCTCAACCCTTATTCAAAATGGCGTCGTTGCCGAGGTATGGCGTTGTTATTTGCTATTGTTGTTGAGTCTATTTCACCTTATTTCGAAAATACAAAAAGATTTTTCTCTTTTGGCTACATTGGTAGCCGTGCTACTAATAATTTCTTTTTGAGTTTATGTGCCCAAGTTAACATGGGAGAAGTCCCGAGGGTTACATTGAAGGATTTGGGCACTTCGGGTGCATACAAGTATGATAGCGGGATTGCTCCATTATTGATCCCGGATAGTGATTTTGAAATCAAGTCGGCAATGATAAATTTGATTGAAAGAAGACAATATAGTGGAGGAACAAACGAAAGTCCGCTCAATCATAATAAGGAGTTCGAGAAATATTGCAACACAATTAAGGTGAGCGATGTAGCGCAAGAATTCATAAGGCTCAAGATATTTTCTTTCTCTCTAATTGGAAGAGCTCAAGAGTGGCTAGACAAGGAAATGAATCCAAATTGTTTGAGAACTTGGGATGAAGTCACCAAGGAATTTCTTTCCCGTTTCTTCCCTCAAAAGAAAACGGCGGAGATTAGAGCTTTGATTCAAAATTTCAAGCAAAGGACTAGTGAAAGCCTCTATGAAGCATGGGAAAGGTACAAGGATTATCAAAGAGAGTGTCCTCACCATGGAATCCCCACTTACCAAATCATTCAAATTTTTTTATAGTGGTTTGAGTCCTCAAGGAGGTCAAGTCTTGATGCCGGAGCTGGAGGCGCAATCATGAATAAGACGGTGGAAGAGGTTGTGGATGTTAAAGACGATGTAGTGAGGAACTACATGGATTGGCAAGAAGTTGAGGTAGAGTCGACAAGCGAAAATAGCTCGGTTAAACAACTCAATGCCATGAACAATCTGTCCACACAACTTTCGGACTTAGGGAAAGAAGTGGTTTCTATCAAGGCAAAGCTTGAGAATGCTTCTTCACAAGCTCAAACCCTTCCCTCCCAATTTCCGGGGAGAGGTACATCTTCTCACTCTAACCCTCTTTTCGCTTCTTGTTGCATGATTAAAGAATGTTGGTTTGTGATTTATGTGGAAAGAGTGATCATGATGCTTCATTTGCCCAAATTCTTTTTGTGATGGATATTGTTTCGGGGTTTTCTGATGTCCTGCGGGAGAGTTACAATTCCAAGACTAGAACCGGACGCCTGTACCTGCAAAACAAACGGATGCTCCGGATGATTGGAGATCCGCCTCCGACGGTCAAGTTAGTACTTGATTAAGGAGTAATTAGTGCGGAAATAAAAGTGATTGGGTCTCTCTAGGCGAGAGTGTTAAATGTGCGTCATCCCCCTTAATGAGGATTAAGGGAGGTATTTAAAACCTTGGGATACGTGCCAATCCTAGGTTTAGGTTAACCTAGGGCTGATTGGGCTTCCCTTGGAAGTTGGGCCTAGGTGGTCGGTTTCTCCATTAGGCATGGAGGATGCCACGTGTCATGACATAATAGGTCCAGGGTGGAAAAATAGGCGTGTGCCACGTGGCAAACCCTGACAGTTCCAACTGGGGTACACTTGGCAGGACCTGATTGGCCCACGTGGCGCATTCCGATTGGTGGGAGCAAAATCCCCTAATCATTTGCCCCTCACAGGTGGCACGTGACTGGTCACGCGTTACCTATGACAGGCGACAGCCTGCTACAGGTGTCACTCGGCGAAAGGCCGAGAGATTCTCCCGCCCAAATTTTGAATTTTGGAAGTGACCCTTCGACTTCTCACTTCGCCTATATAAGGGGGTGTTGACTTCAGTCATTTTCACATTTGAGAACTTTTAGAGAGAATATTCGGACCCCTGAACTTGCTCTGACATTTCGGACCATTTTTGCCTACCGCCTGCTCTGACAAGCCGACTACACAAGATTTCCAGAACTTCGTCAACTTCACTCGTTCAGGTAACCGTCGGTTCTCCTACTCTTAATTTTTTCTTTATTTTATTCTTTTTTGAAATGGCACCACGGAAGCACACGACACGACCTAGGTTAGTGATCAGCCGGTCACCGGGGACGGCTGAATCTAGGACTAGGAGTGCCGCCTGCCCTTTTCCGGACCCATCTTTGCCCTTTATACAAAGTCCGATTGTCTCTGTGTCTATGCAGAACATGATGGCCAGAACAAAAAGAAATGCTAGGATTTCGAACTTAGACGGCTCCTCCCACAGGGTGCCGATTAGTGAAACATCTGACTAGGCGCCAGATGTGGAAGTGAACCAAAGGGGCTTGAAAGCCGACAATTCTTAGGGAGGAGTTAAAGTGACCCCTTCCAATTTTACAGTTGACAAGTCTACATTCTCTCCTGCTCCTTTTGAAGGAGAGGAGGCGGGCCCCTCTGGGAGAGGGGAGGAGTCGTCCTCTTCGGACTCGTCAGAGGACGAATCCGAGTCTAGCTCTTCTGGACATGCTTCTCTGGACACAGAAGAGAAAAACAGCCGCCTACAAGAGGCGAGGCTTTCTCACGCAGTTGAGAAGGGGGACAATTGGGCGGAGCCATCCGCCTCTTACCGAGAGCAAAATACCCCCTACTACTGCACTGTCCCACGGGGCCGGATCACGGCCATGCAAGAGAAAGTGGGGAGCTTTATTGCGAACCATACAATGGGCCCCGGCTTTTTAGTTTTCGTGCCGGATCCAGAAGACACAGTCGTTTGGCCAGCTGGTACTAGTTATGATGGCGCCTGCTTTGGCTGCTATGAGGCGGCCATCAGGGTTGGGTTGCGCTTCCCACTACATCCGGCTGTTCAGCGGATCTTGGATGGGTATGAGTTGGGGTTATGGCAGTTAGCCCCAAACTCCTGGGTCAACGTACTCGGCTATGTGGTCGGGTGCGAACTGCACTAGGTGGAGCCAAACTTCGAGGCTTTCGCCCACATGAACTACCTCAGCCGGACCCCTAAGGCAGGCGGTACTGGCTGGTATCAATTGACGAGCCACAGAGGCTACCTCATGACAAGAGGTAAAGCAAACAAGTGGAAGGATTGGCGAAACACCTTCCTTATCATTGAAAGTTCAGACACAAAGCTGAACAAGCGCTTTAACAAGTGGAACAGGAATCCGCCTCTTCTTGCAGGCGGCCGCAGCATGCCGCCTGTTCCCCCCAAAGCCAAGAAAGAGATCCTGGATAAAGGACTCTTTAAAGTAGAGTCGAGGGTCGACTCTACTACAGGGGTACGAGAGCAAGTACCCCTGCACTGCGTCCCGAGCTTCAAATGGCTCTATGACGAGTACTTTCTGGCCGCCTGTGGCCTTAGCAGTCGGTGTTCAAGAGGTAGTCGGCCTGTTGAATACTCTGTTTTTTCCATGCATTACTGTTATGACTTTTTATTAACTTTGCTATTTTTTTTTGCAGCTGACGCCATGAGCAAAATTACCGCCTCCAAGACTGCGGCAGCCATGTTGCGAGCCTCCATCATGCAACAATCCTCAACCGACTCCCCCAACAAGGGGGCGCCCTTGGTGAGCTCCGAACCTTTCACTCTCTTTTTGGAGTTGGGTTTATGCATATACTGACCGAGTGTTTTTTTTTTTTAGACGGGCACTCCAAGAGCCTCTTCTTCCCAACAGCCGAACTCCAAGACCCGGAGGACGACTGTTGCGAGCTCTCCTGGTTCTGCCAGGAAACATGCGGCGGCTGAGAAACAGCCGTCCACTCCTTCTAAAACTCCAATCGGGCCGCCTAAAAGTATGAAGTTGTCTTTGTGAATTTAGACTTCCTCCCTTCTTTACTAGGTCTAACTCGTTTGTTTATGATTGATGCAGCCTGCCCTCAGGAGCCGGACTTGGTCGAGGTGGCCAAGTCTATGATCAAAGCCGTTCCTCCAGCTGAAAGGGAGGCGGTCAGGGGTGTCGTCACCCTTGACCTAGACGGGATTGCAGGGGTCCTTGCTGAGGTATACTTAGCATATTTTTGGTTATTTAAATTCCAGGACGCCTGTTTTTGTTTGGAAACTGACGCCTGTTCCCTTTAACTTAGGCCCTGCTCCGAGTGAACGGCCTTCGCAAGCCGCTTGACAGGAAGAACAAAGAGGTAAAGGCTGCAAAAGCTATGGCCGCCTCTGACTGTGATAAGGCAATGTTTCAAATTGCCCAAAATGAGATTTTGACGATTGATATTCTTTATTATCAGGCGCAGGCTACTTCTGCTATCCGGGCTCAGTTAGAGGCGACCCAGAAGAAAAATAATGAGCTGGAGGCGACCATCAACAATCTCAAGGCCGAGCTGAGACCTCTTCGCCAAAAAATGTCCTCATACGACACCTTGGAGAAATCCTTGGCGCACGTTAAGGAACGCCTGGTGACCTAGGAGAAGAGTCTTACTCAGGAGCTCTCGGCGAAGGCCGAGCAAGAAAAGAAGGAGCTGGTCCGAGAGATGATGGAAGACTCTGCTCAAATCCAGCGCCTGACCTGGGGCCGCCTCTTCCCCAATGCCGACTTTTCCTCCTGGGAAAAAACGTACCGCCAGTGTTCTGATAGATATAATCAAGAGATCCTGGCGGCTGCTGAGGACGAGGCGTTGGAGGAGGAGGAGCCGGTAGTGGCTCTTGTGCCGCTTGGGGGTGATGCATCGAAGAAGGATGCAGCTGAAGCCGAGTCCAGCAAAAAGAGTGCTGACCAGGCGACAGCTGCTATTATTGAAGATCTGCCCCTTTCTTAAGCTTTATGTCTTCTTTTCACGGCCTGCGTGCCGTTTGTTTCTATTTACCCAGCCAGGGGGCCGGGGTTCTGAATATTTTGCCGGTCTTCATGACCGGCTTTCTTTTGTATCTTTTACCCGGCCAAGGGGCCGGGGGTATGAATGTTTATGCCAGTCCTTTGAATTTGTTTCGTTTTGAATTTGTTAAAATTTGTTAAGTATCGAAACTTTGATATCCAATTGCATACTTATACCGACTATTTTACATGGCCGATAGTTGTAGACAGGTACAAGGTAGTTAATCACACCACCTATGCCCCTGGACGACTGGTTGTCTGTTTCCAGGCTAAGCGATCAGTCGGCCACTTTAAAGACTGGATCCCCTTTATCCAAGTAGGAAGGTGGTTTCCTACCTGCCTTGCTTTTTTTGTTGTTTTTTTAAGCTAGAGATTCTAGTCGGTCCAGGCCGACTATTTCCCGCCACATTTAACCTAGTGTGAACAGGCGCTGTATGAACACCTTTTTAGTCTTATACTAAATTTTTAAGGAGTGACCAGGTAAACATGATTGTTACCTAGTCGCCGGGTAACTGAGTAGTAGAGGTTTCAAGCGGTGGGTACCGGTTGCTCCCCTTTATTTGCCAATGTTTGTTGGTTATTAACTCATAAGATACCGACTGTTCTTATCCCAAGTAGTTCAGTCGGTTGGTTGACACGGATGGTTACTGCGAACACTTGTTTGACCTGATTAGTCAGTTAAGTGAGGGGTAGCCTTGTCCGGGAAACGGCTACGTGGTTGTCTTGGTTAGACAGTCGTATAGGTGCCGTGTAATGGTTTTATAGAACAATGTTCCACCCAAAAGGGAGCTGCTCTCTGCGACGAATTTCATCCGGATGGATGCCGTCGGACGCCTGCTATAATGTTGGGACAGGTCGAATTGAACTTATATTTGGATCAGTTGGCTTGGCGCCTGGTCTGATCATTTTAGCTATGAGCCTTTGATAGTTCTTGGTGAACTGTGTTATGGGAGAGTAGCCGGTTGCATGAGACAAGCGGCGTGCCCCTCTTAAGTAAGAATGAAAAATAAACATGGAGAGTAGCCGACTGTTTGTCAGTTGGCATGCCCCTCTTAGGTAAGAATAAAAATTAAACATGGAGAGTAGCCGACTGTTTGTCAGTTGGCATGCCCCTCTTAGGTAAGAATAAAAATTAAACATGGAGAGTAGCCAACTGTTTGTCAGTAGGCATGCCCCTCTTAGTACAAAATTGAATGAAACATCAAACTTTTATTAAGTAGCCCTCGACTATTTACATTATTCAAAAGAAATATTTCTTA